CCAGGTGGTAAGGGTAGGTAACAACACATCCGTCACGCTGATCCTCAACACGGGGACCCCTCAGGGGTGCGTGCTCAGTCCCCTCCTGTACTCTCTGTTCACCCATGACTGCATGGCCAGGCACGACTCCAACACCATCATTAAGTTTGCCGACGACACAACAGTGGTAGGCCTGATCACCGACAACGATGAGACAGCCTATAGGGAGGAGGTCAGAGACCTGGCCGTGTGGTGCCAGGACAACAACCTCTCCCTCAACGTGACCAAGACAAAGGAGATGATTGTGGACTACAGGAAAAAAAAGAGGACTGAGCACGCCCTCAATCTCATCGACGGGGCTGTAGTGGAACAGGTTGAGAGCTTCAAGTTCCTTGGTGTCCACATCACCAACGAACTATCATGGTCCAAACACACCAAGACAGTCGTGAAGAGGGCACGACAAAGCCTATTCCCCCTCAGGAGACTGAAAAGATTTGGCATGGGTCCTCAGATCCTCAAAAAATTCTACAGCTGCACCATCGAGAGCATCCTGACTGGTTGCATCACCGCCTGGTATGGCAACTGCTTGGCCTCCGACCGCAAGGCACTACAGAGGGTAGTGCGTACGGCCCAGTACATCACTGGGGCCAAGCTTCCTGCCATCCAGGACCTCTATACCAGGCGGTGTCAGAGGAAGGCCCTCAAAATTGTCAAAGACTCCAGCCACCCTAGTCATAGACTGTTCTCTCTGCTACCGCACGGCAAGCGGTACCGGAGTGCCAAGTCTAGGTCCAAAAGACTTCTCAACAGCTTCTACCCCCAAGCCATAAGACTCCTGAACAGCTAATCATGGCTACCCAGACTATTTGCACTGCCCCCCCACCCCATCCTTTTTACGCTGCTGCTACTCTGTTAATTATTTATGCATAGTCACTTTAACTCTACCCACATGTACATATTACCTCAACTACCTCAACTAGCCGGTGCCCCCGCACATTGACTCTGCAACGGTACCCCCCTGTATATATAGCCTCCCTACTGTTATTTTATTTTACTTCTGCTCATTCTTTTGTTGTTGTTTTATTTTTACTTTTTTTGTTAAAAATAAATGCACTGTTGGTTAAGGGCTGTAAGTAAGCATTTCACTGTAATGTTGCACCTGTTGTATTCGGCGCATGTGACCAATAAAATTTGATTTGACTAAATACTTTTTTTCCCCACTGTATGTAAACTTTTGACCCACTGGAATTGTGTTACAGTGAATTATAAGTAAAATAATCTGTCTGTAAACAATTGTTGGAAAAGTTACTTGTGTCATGCACAAAGTAGATGTCCTAACCGACTTGCCAAAACTATAGTTTGTTAACAAGAAATGTGTGGAGTGGTTGAAAAACGAGTTTTAATGATTCCAACCTAAGTGTATGTAAACTTACGACTTCAATTGTAGGATATATAAGAACCTTGAGCGTTCTCTCACGGGGCAAACTGTTATGGGGGGAGGGGTCTATATTAAATAAAATGATAAGCTAATCACATCCTTTTAGTATGTCATACATTTCAGGATTCCATTGATAATTTGGTGTGTCTAAATCCAGTGTCACTTGGTGCTACTCAATTTAAATGAAGGGAAATAACTTTGTCAGAAAAAAGATTAATCATATTTACTTTAGTAAATATTTTTAAAAGTATTGATGATTTGAGCATTTGTGGCCTCCACTTCAGAAAATCATGTTAATTTTTTCTAAAATGTATGGAGGACCAAACCTTCCATAATTAGAAATAAATTAATGAATAAATAAATGCACACAAATAAATACATTAATAAATAAATAAATGCACACATAAACATTTAAATAAATGCACACATAAATAGATTAATAAATAAATGGATGAATGCAGACATAAATAGATAAATCATTAATCCCACTTTCATTCATTTTATTCATTTATATTATTTCTTCAGAGGCAACCAGGGTTTTGGCTATAATGTCCTGGTACTTGGTAAAGTTCATGATGCCAATGCCATTTATCAAACTCCAGGTGGTGCTATGTCAGATGATATGAACATTTCACTCTTTGGCCACGCACACCAGTGGTGGGTTTGGCGTTGGAAAAACAGAAGCATATGCGGTAGGGCTGGGCGATATGGCCTAAAAATATTTTTGGGTCAAACGTATGGCAGATTTATGATATATTGATAAAAAATAAAAGCATTTAATCGAAATAAGCTTTGTTTTACAATTACAGGTCAAATACACTGCATTTCAAACAGTCAGCAATCATTTAATGAATTCAGGTCTTGTGAAATTATACCTAAGACAAATATAAGCCTTCCACAAGACCCACTAATAATTACATTATTTTATCAAAATAGTTTAACCTGCTTTTTTGCAATAATCACTGATCTGGCTTTCAAGTCTGTCTATGAAAATGTTAGTTAGAAATTGATCCCGAACCATGATTAATGTGCATTCACTAATAATGACTAACTTCTTGTAGAAGCCATTTATAGAAAATTAGCACAGGTCTCATAAACAATCTCTAAAGTACAAGCCCACGTGCTAGTGAGTAGGCAGCTAATCTTTATATTTCAAGTTTAGCCAACTTGGATTTATTTGCTAGCTAACAAGGCAGAACAGTTGAATTGTTATGAACACACCCTTCTGTCAGTCTTCAACTGTTTGAACAGCATGCTAGCCTGTCCACTTTGTTCAGATGTTGAAATCAAGTGGTTTACCTTATTTTTCAGAATGAGAACGAGTTGCCAATTCCTTATGTAATTGTGTTTTATGATTATTGCACATTTATAAAACACAGACTAGACAGCTAGTATAACAGTCTTTGGCTAAAATGCTGCTAGCGGTACTTGGTACCGCAATGCCACGCTCAACAAACTCAGCATTCATTTTCCAGAATCAATGTTCATTGCAACTCTTGTTTTAGTAGTGTCTGCTCTGCGCGCAATTTAAGTAGTTGATACATTAAAATGGTATCGTTAGAAAGGTTAGGTTCTCCTCTATTACAGTAAAATAATGTCTCAATGTGTTTCGTTTTTCATATGATCTATTCTTTCGGACCAAACCTCAAATGCAAATAGCGAGTGGAAACCGCTTGTCAGAGAGGAAGGAGTGATCTCTCATCTTTGTTGTTGTGAGTGGGAGGGGCTTGGTGTGTATTTGTGTAAACCATAGAGGACGAGGCAAATCGAGAGGTTTCACTCTCGCTAAAAACAGTCCAAAATAAGCCCAATGTGTTTCTATAGGCTTATTTTGGATTTAAGCTTGTCGCCAGCCTTCCGGCCTTTGGGACTCCTATTGTTAGGGTGGAGACGTGCATCTCGTCATTATATACAGTTCTCTGGTGTAAATAGGAAGGTGCACACAGCAGGAGCGAAGGACACGAGACCAAAAAGACAACATGAGAACAAGCTGACATAAACGGTCATAAAACAAAAAATACAAAAGAAACGACGTTCTTGCGATACAGGCATTTGGAATATCGCGCAAAAACATACATTCAAATGAATTTGATATATCGCCCAGCCCTAACCTACAGTAAAATATGGTGGTGGATCTTTGATGTTATGGGGCTATTTTGCTTCCACTGGTCCTGGGGCCCTTGTTAAGGTCAACGGCATGAACTTTACCAAGTACCAGGACATTTTAGCCAAAAACCTGGTTGCCTCTGCCAGGAGCCTGACACTTGGCTGCAAGTGGATCTTCCAGCAAGACAATAACCCCAAGCATTAATCAAAATCCACAAAGAAATTGTTAATTTACCACAAAATCAACATTTTGCAATGGCCATCTCAGTTTCCAGAAAACCTGTGGTTTGAATTGAAGAGGGCAGTCCATAAGCGCAGACGAAGTATATCAAGGATCTGGAAAGATTCTGTATGGAGGAATGGTCTAAGATCCTTCCCAACGTATTCTCCAATCTCATTTTAGAAAAAGGCTCGGTGTCGTTATCCTCTCAAGGGGAGATGCTGGAGTATTAAAAACAGGGGTGCCAATCATTTTTATCCTTAGCTTTTTTTACTTATTAAACAAAATCTCTTTCTCTGATCAATTGTATTCGTATAAAATAATATAATTTCTAAATTTTTTTGGGAGCATAGATCAGTATTTGTATTATTTATTTTATAGTATTTTTTCCTCCTCATTTTCAAGGGTGCCAATAATTATGGACCTGACTGTATGTAGAGAAAAATGTATGAATTCTGGTCAGCATTTTTGTATTTCCTTGCTCATTTATGTATGTGTGTATTTATTTATTCATTCATTTAATTGTAATTATAGCAGGTTTGGGCCTCCATACAAATAGTGGTCCTCTGTAGCTCAATTGGTAGAGCATGGCGCTTGTAACGCCAGGGTAGTGGGTTCGATCCCCGGGACCACCCATACGTAAAAATGTATGCACACATGACTGTAAGTCGCTTTGGATAAAAGCGTCTGCTAAATGGCATATTATTATTATCATTATTATTAAATAACACATAATTCAAGAATGACCCATATCATAAAACATGTTTCTATTTTTGGTCCATAATGTAACTTATGTGTGACTTCTGCGTCACACAAGCCATTTAAACATATCAAGTACGTGAAGAGATGTGTCTCAAGTGGTGCAGGTTCTACATGGGAACCTTACCACCCATGTTGTCTTGTGAGTGAATTGGCGTCTCCTGAGTATTTGTGGTAATACTGCCCCCTGGTGGCAATATGTGTTAGATTTTTGTGGCTCTTGTATTAGTGTATTTAGCTATGGCTTCTGCCTGTGAGCCTTATAAAATATCACATCAACATTTGTTGAATGTTTATATGGAATGCTGTTATATTTCAATTGCTGTGGACAGAATTTAAAGCGGAATTAAAGAGGAAATATTTTCATTGTCAGGCCTGTGTGCAGCCCTGTCAGGCAAGTCATGGCATCCTCATGATTTAGTTAACCCTTCCGTCTCTTTGTAGGGGCTCACACATTTTTAACCCTTTCCCCTCCCGTCTCTCCTCTCCCCGCCAGCCTACATGAAGCGGCGCCACAGCTCGGTGAGTGAGAGCCAGACGGTGGACAGCGGGGGCTTGTCGGGGGGAGACTTCAGCCAGGGGGGCAGCCCACAGCATGGCCTCAGCCACCACCTGCACCAGCAACAGCCCCCCCAGCAGCACCTGAAGAAGGCTCGTGTGGTGCTGGCCCCAGAGGAGAAGGAGGCCCTGAAGAGGGCCTATCAGCAGAAGCCTTACCCCTCGCCCAAGACCATCGAGGAGCTGGCCTCACAGCTCAACCTCAAGACCAGCACCGTCATCAACTGGTTCCACAACTATAGGTGGGTGAAGAGGAACGGGGAGAAGGCTGGGAAAGGATGCAGACCTGGGTCCAAATGTTTTCTGTTGATGTGAGAGACTCCCAGAACTGTGTCTGTGTCTGACTGAGGGTTGTTGGGGTCCTGCTCTCTCTCTTTCTATCCTCCAGGTCTCGTATCCGACGGGAGCTGTTCATTGAGGAAATCCAGCGAGGCGAGGGCGGTGAGGGTGGCTCCCCGTCCACCAGAGCGGGCAAGGCCAGCGAGGGCGACAGCTGCGACGGCACCGAGTCGGACGGCACGGTGGAGGGCACACGCCCCGGCCACGAGCACCACCCGGCCTCGGAGGGCGAGGGTGGGTCCGACCACAGGGACGAGGGAACCACCTTGGCCACCGGCAGCACTGCCGCAGGTACCAGTGGCCACCACAAGGGCGGTGCCCTGGAGAGCCTGTTCAGCTTCCCAGAGAGCAGCCATGTTTCCTCTGTGTCCGTGGCTGCTACCGCCGCTGCCCGCAACCCCCGGGACAACAGCCTGCGCAAGAAGAAAGCCGCCAACCTCAATAATATCATCCACCGTCTGGAGAAGGCCGCAAGCAAAGACGAGCCCCATGAGTGGGAGTTCTAATACGGTCCCCCCTGCTCACGCTACCGGGGAAAGAGAGAGTTCCTATTTTTCTAGAGCCCTGACTGCACAGTCCCAAGGCCAAGCCTGGAGCAGTGCTGCCAGAGAAGAACTGGTGTCTTTTACGAGTTTTCATATCAAAGAGGGTTTAGAGATTTTTTCCAGAAGCGAAACGACAGCAACAACCTTGTTTTGTTTGTAGATAAAGCACTTAACAGCCCTGCTGGCCACAGGGCCCTAACACCACCGGCCAAAGGTGCGAAAGAGACGAAAGACTTGCGCTACTCACAAAGGAGCTTCACTCCACAGGAGGAAACTGTCACGAGAAGCAATTCTGTGTTTTATTTGTGTGTGTGTGTTTCCCTTTGAGAGATTTATTCGCCACCTCAAAGTTTTTCTAACCTTGTTCGCTCAGTGAGTTTTCACCACATCTAGCAGACTAAATGTTACAATGTTTTCTCTTTTCTCTGTTTTTGAAGAGGTTCCTCCTCCTCATAACTCTATTGCAGCTCTTTGGTATCTGTAAGGATCGTCAAACGGAAAGCCAAGCATTTAAAACATTTGTGTCTGCAGGAGAGTAGGACCATGGAGAACCCTTTCCCAAGCAACCTTCTTCTCTGTGCCCCAAAAGTTGCCATGTAATGGCTTTGGAACTCTTAATATGCTATGGACTCCATTGAGAAAGGAATCAAAAATTTTATAAAATTATTTTTCTCCTCTGAGAAAGAAAAAAACGTATATAGCAATTTGGTTGCCACTAAGAGATTGCACAGTCGGTCGACTCTAAACAATGCTAGTTTCGATTCCTAAATACTTGGGAAGGATAAAATGAGAAGTGAAAATACGAATTATCAGTTGTTGAAAGGAACGATGAAAAAAGATTATCACTTTAATTCACCATTTTTCAACATACAACATAAAATGCAACAGTCATGTAAGGAAAAAGGAAAAATCAGAAAACATCTTGTGGTAGCTGACTTTTAGTGTTCTTTCTCGTGAGTGATCTAGAAACTCTTTGATAAGTAGTGCACATTTCTTTCATAGCTTTAACTGACTTTCGGGGGACGCCATTTTGGTGGCACTGGGAGCGTTTGTTTAATACACTCCATTTTAGGCCAAAATCAGGTTTGAGAATTAAGAAAACTAAAGAGAAAAAAAAGATGTAAAAAATGTATACAAGTTAATGGAGAAAAAAAATATTTCAGTCTAGATATTTTTTAAAGTAGAAAGTTACGAACCTGCTTTTTAACCTCTTTTAACCACAAAAAAACACACTATTGAGACCTCAGAACCGGGGCGGGCAGTGGAGCCGATGGCCGCTGTACTTCACAGGCTGGCCCTAGGACGGGGAGGCTTGCGTTTCATTGGGTGAAAAAGCCAGGAGATGCACAGCTCACTTTACTGTATATTCCAAGCTTCAGGCTCTTTTGCTCTCAACTCTTTACCTATGGTTGTGTGTATATATGTACATTGTCAAAACAAAAGACAGAAAAGAAAGACAAGAAACCCCCGTTCCTGTTGCATGCGGTGCACTATGAGTCGGTGGAAGAGATGGACTCTCCTCTGCTTGTGTGTTCCCATACCGACGAGCTACATGACTGACCTAGTCATGGTCGACCTGTCATACGTCCCTCCTTTAAACCCCTCTGACATATATTCTCCACAGGCTGTCATGTTGTGTTGCTCAGAGGTCAAGAGGTCAAATGTACCAGTACTTAGTAGAGATATTTCAAGGTACATTTTTACTAATTTAATAACCAATACCAAAAGTTATATCCAAAGTACTGTTGATGTGACATCCCCCATCCAATTTGGTCGTCTCTGTTTCAAAGTCGAGCTGATTCTTCCACCAGTCTTAATGCGCTCTCTTCCTTATATGACCAGTTTTATGATCAATTCATGACTGTTACGTAGCATCTCCATTCTCCACTGGTCACAACAAGTCCTCTTACCTTCAGCTGAAACTCTTGGCCTGCCTCATGTGAATATATCTCAGAGGTTAAGATCACTTGACACGGGTCAATGGAAGAAACAAAGACATTCATTTTATACTCAACCCTCAACCCATCCTCCCTCTCCCAGACATGGTAGAACAGTAGACACCCCCTCGCACACATCGCAACCTTCTCCATCCTCTCCCTTTCCTCCTATGCCACAAGCTCACAGTGCCTGCCCGCCCACTGCCTCTCCCTGTGTGTTTGAGAGTGTGAGAGCACACACGTACGTGTACACAAGTAGATGTGCGCGTGTGTGATTTTGTATGCACGTACCGTAAGAAAGGGGTGTAAGGGTGTGAGCGAGGACTAGCTGCCCTGCTCTGCCATACACACCCCTGAGTGTGTGTGTGTGTGTGTGTGTGTCTCTGTGTGTGTTTTATAAGTCTGCGTGGCTTTGATTTGTACATGCCTGCACACACATAGAGTGCACAACTGCCACTCTTTCTTTCTTCTAAGCTGTTTTCTAAGTTATCGCTAACGGCATAGCAGACTCACAAATACAGTAGGTCTCCTTTATTGCCATATATTAAAGACTCACAGTAGATGACTTCAACAAAGTTTTTTTTGTTTCATTTTTTTGTTCTACTTATTTATAGGGGCTGTATTTTACATTTTAATGTCTTATTTGATTTCTGTTTTACATTATTATTATTATTATTATTATTGTGTGGGACTATAAGGGGTCATGTAAAAAAATGTTTTTAGACTGATAGACTGCCGGCAGTATTGGGTTATACGTACGAGATGTAGTTGTCATACATGTATATTAGTGAAATTTGAATATGTTTTGACAGTGTCATTTATATGGTTTGAACTGAAATGAGAGAACAACCCGATGATGTCGTCGATAGCATTATGGTGCATTCACCGTTCATGATTTGATGTGTCTGTACATTTTTCTTTTCTTCTTTTTAACTTGTATTTGTATGTATTTTCCATGAAGATAGATCACCTCAGCAAGCATGATTGAAATCAGGTTGACTCATTCTATTTTGTACGTTTTCCGTGTATCACTGAACCCAGCACAGGACAGAAGTTGTGGTGGGGCTCGAGAACCAATAGCATCTGAAGGTCTGGAACTGCTGTCCTTTGGCATCACCTCTGAATCTGACATTTATTTTGAAATTTTCAAGCTTTATTTGAGATTAATAAAGTGAGGTAGATTTTTCCTAAATAAGCACTGATAGGATCACTATATATGGGCTTAGATCAAGCAAGAGAGTGTGACTGGCATTTCCTGTTTATTGGCCTTCATTTGTAGGACCGGGAGGTTTCCGGTCTCTACAACCTAACCAACATGTGGCTCTGCACAAGGCTAGGGATCAGAAAACTGGAGTAAACTATAAACTGTGATGCACTTGCTGAAATCTAAAACTTTTGTGAAGCTCTTAGTACTACGTACCCCGACTATTCAGAATATTTTTATTTCCACAATTATTATTTGCTAAATATAGGTTTAGTTCTTTAAAACAAAACAAAAATTTATCAAATTACATTTTTATACATAACAATAATAAACAGGTGTGTAAAGCACAAGCACTACTGACCAAAAACCTCTTAAAAAGGGGGGAAGGCAACAAAACTGTCACAATTTACCTTAAAAGTTGAATTGCATGCTGTTAAAAATGTTCTATGCCATTCTGACTTTACAATAAGCTTAGTCTTTAAAGACTTCACATTATCAAGAAAGAAAAAGATTATTGGCAACTGTTCAAATTGTGCGCATTTGGAGCACAATACATTGGACTTAATATATGGCTGTCTGATCCTTGCGTCATACCCTGGCTCTATAGAGTGGGTCCTGAATGCCTACTGCTCAGCTGCCCCTCCTACAGCAAAGCTGGGGGTGATTGGATCACCTCTGGAGGGCAGTGAAGTTAGCACACTGTTCATAAGCCCTGCGTCCTGGCTGGTTCCAAACTACGCTCCCTCAAGTGCCACACTGCCAGTCTGGCCAACCACAGCAGTCCCTATCAGCTGGTCACACTGTTCTACTGAACTTCGTTGGAAAGATTTGATAGATTGAACCCCTCCAAAAAATAAGAGTGTTGAACTTTTTTTGATAAAAGCACAAGTACTGCGACAAGTTTAAAATAATGTTATTTCCATATAATGGCTTTTGAAAAGTAAAGCTTAAATTGATCATACCCAAAAACATTACCTTTCAAAAAAAGGAGTTGATGTTTTAGCACTATTAAAGAGATATCTTAGCTTAGCACTTAACCGTCTGCGAGCCTTTTCCTCCGGACTATCTTAAGTTCATAGGAGTGCCTTTGCCTTAAAGTGACCGAAGTGTTGATATTGTTTTAAGGATTGCTCATAAACGAATGCAGTAAACTGGCTCAGTCTCTTGGACTGAAGTCTTGCGCCCATCCCATCGTCATTCTCATGAGACTTATCATCACTGATCTCCAAGTCTTGTGCAGGCACCACATGGAAACAAGCAATCATTTTGACTGGTCTCCCACATGTCCTCAACACAGCTGTTGACGTCTGTAGCAAAGTTGTTTTGTCTGGAAATGCTCCACTGCTGTTGAACGAAAGGGGTCCAGTTCTGTGACTGTCTGCAGTCCTGGGCTGGCTCCTCCAGAGGTGATGCCAATGCAGACTTGTAGGCCACAGATTTGTAGGAGGTACACAATCAAAAGCCCATATGCAGATAGTCGGTATGGCCCTCATTAACAATGATGCAGGCTTGAGTAGGCACTAGTGAAAGGGATTTGATCAACGGTATGTGAGTCTCCCAGAGGGATTTCAGTTTGATACTATTACTAACATGTCAAGTTGTGCTATCATGATGTCAACTGTTCCCAGCTAATGCCCTGTTAGTACAGGCGACGATAGCGATAGCTGACAGGCAGTGCTTTTTGACTTGGAGTTGAATTTCTGTGGATTGGTTTTTATTTTTCTATTTCTCATTTGATGCTAATAGAAGATTTGAACATGAGTTCTCTCACTTTTTCTCCCCAAATCATGTTCTGCTGTCAGCCATTTTGGAAACATTGC